CTCACAACATGCAAGAGAGCAGGCAATACAAAGGGGGAACACGTCCCTTGCTGAAAGGGCTCAGAGGAGGATGTCCTCACGCATCAGGGCTAACAGGGAGGCATCCCTAGTCCCTAGCACTACAGAAACGAGCCAGGAATCCCACATTCCTTCAGGAAACACGGGATTGAACTCACAGGGGTTAGATAACTCCATTGAGAGCTGGTCAACTAGGTTTAGCGACCAACAGGGCCCGGTCTGCTCAATTATAGGAGACGGGCTGGAAAGCCAAGCTGAAGTCACTGGTCATTCACAGGGCACTTCACCTAGAGCAAGCGGCAACGGGGATAACAATACAAACTCTCCAGGTCTGAGAAGGTTGCTCCGGGCAAGAGGTCCTCTCAAATACCTAGCCGATTACGTAAGGTGAACAGGTACATAGCAAGAGCTGACTGAATGTACTGGCGGGTTGTATTTAATTAAAACAAGGTCGGGGGGGTCACTGGATCTGGTTCAAAGGAACAGTACCACACCTTATACATTGTGTAACTTTATTTCATTATTAATTATTTTACCATCTATAGGATGGCGTCCATGTGGGCGCAATCTTATTTCATCCAGGGGGAAGGGGTGTTGTGTCCTGAGCCTGCAAGAGGCAGGCTCGGGACGTTGCAAGAGTCCCGGGCATTTGCAGAAGCTGCCCGGGACCAGACTGAGCGGCGCCAGCCTTGGGCGCATGCGCAAGGCGGGAAAAGCCCGCCTCATGATTGGTTGAACTTGCCCGGGGATCAGAGGGTATAAATAGAGGCCTGCGTGCCTCTGCTCTGGTTGTTCGTAGAGTGGAGCAAACAATAAAGACTTGTTGGAGATGAATCGTCTCAAGCGCCATTATTCCCAGGACTTAACAAAAAGTATGTGCTGTCCATTTTCCAGTGAAACATTAGTGATTTCCCAAAGAAGAAAACAGAATTTGGGTTTCTGTATTTGATTCAAATATCCTACTGTGACATGATCCTTTTGCAGAATGGAAATGTCTTTCAATGTAACTGAAAGGCATTGCGTTAAATCATCATCATTTGCCATACAATGTAATGTTTCATGTACAAAATAAACATTATGTTTTCCTTCAGTTCATTACAAAGCAACTCTGGGATGTTAATGAAACTAATACACTATTGTCCAGTCAGGTCTTCTTCCCAACAGGGAGAGGACCTTGCTACAACTAAATTAAACACCCCATGCAGGAATTCAGTGCTAAAGTTTTCTAAAAGAGATGTTTGTAATTCCCTGCTAATGCCTAAATATCAGGAAAGTATTTCAGAGTTTATTCAAAACCAAACTGTCATCTCAATTGGAAAGTGGAAGAGGTGGGATTCTCTTATGCAATTATTTTAAATATTTTCCTCTCAAATTAAGTATTGATAATAATTAACAAATGTTTAAGAAAAAGCTAATCTTTGCAAAGATGGCAAAAAATAAAAATAAAGATAGTTACTATTACACAAAAACTGTCCAATTAAAAAAAATCTGAAGCCAAAATAGAATCATAATACCACATGGGTTTGTGCACAGGAAATCCTCTCTAATATTGTATCACTAAAGACAGCGAAATATCATTTTCCTCTCTTTTTTTGCATAATTTTCTCATGAAACACAATTACTCTCTAGGGATGAATGTCAGTGAAATATCAGATCCATATCTGAGTAGCTGGGGCCAGAAGCATCCAAAAAAGTCAAAATGCTGATTGCACCTGCAAGATCAAAAGCCCATCTAAGTAGTTTTTTTTTATCATTCCCCACTATATATTTAAAGAGAAATCACTATTCTGCACTCATTTTGTATACAGAACCTCAACTTAATGAATGTGGCAAGAAAAAATTACTTCCAGGTACCCATTAAAATGTGTGTGTCAATATGTCAATTTCATGTGTCTATTTAAGTATTTCCTTTTTCACTCTTCCTAAAACAGAAAAATAGAGAGGACCACTAGGACAAAAAGTGGTTAAGAAAATCTAGCTGAATCTTCTTCCATTAATTTCTGGAAAGAACAATTTCACAGCAGCATCTAAGTCCAAATCATGCATTTCATTTGCCCCCAAAGTACTAGCTGTGACCTGACTTGACCTATGAATAATCCTGGTTGTTCAGTTCCGTCCGGCCTGAGGGTAGGCCAGATTAACTCAAGAACTTGGCCTTTTGTCATGGCTTCCTGTAACCTAAATATGGTCCTGAGCATAAGCTTATTTGCATTAATTTCCACCTATCCTTACTTTTCTGAAATTGCAAATAGAGCTTTTCAGCACATAGAATGTCCAAAATCTAATGATAATCTGATGAATTTAACTTACACAATTGAGCTTTTGGGAGAAATGTACAAGAATTAAGTACATACCAAAACAAGTACAGCAACCCTGACCATATGTTGCAACTCACAGAAAGGCAGGCATGAGAACAACTGAGTTAACCTCATGCTTAATAAACACAATGGCCACACCCTCACAGCTATTTTTATGGGGGAAAGACACTTTCCTGCCACATGTGCCTTTCCAGCAGCAGGCTCTTCAGACACATGGATTATATATACACAGCTTTTAACACAAGGAAGCCTTTGGCACATTTAGGACTCAGCCTCTTTAGAGAGTTTAAAATATACCAATGAGATTGTGACCTTCGCCATAAAAAATACGTGTAATAGAGATTCTTTCATAATAAGCACAGCCAATAGAGACTCAAAAGTTTATATGCCTCCTCAACACCCAGTTACCTTGTGCTCTTTATAAACCAAAGTGTATAATAAGAAAAAGAGGAATAATTGGAGAGGATAAGTTTCTCTATAATTTCATAATGAAATTTAATATAGTTACAGACAAACCACACAGTTAAACTCATTGTTTAAGGTAAAGATGTGCATTTCAGGCAACTTGGAAAAAATAGCAAATCAATCATGCAAGGGAGCCTGGACTCTTAACCAAAGCCTTATTATTCATTTTATGAGAATTTGGTGGAGAAAAATTGCCTCAAAACATTAAGTAACGCTTTCTATGCTTCATTAAATTTCCCAGGACTACTTGTCTGGGAGAAAAAGAATTATTCATTGGAAAATAACATACAAATCTGGTCTGAGATGGCAAACCATATGTGAGCTAAATAACTTCAGACTCTACCAAGCATCCCCACTTTCAAAAGAGAAAACAATGTTGGCACAAAGAACCCTTCTCTTTCGAATCCTGGGTACAGGTTTGAGAAATGTTTTGATGTCTCCCCTCAACTTGGCTGCCTTATCTTGATTCCAATCTCTGCAAGCTTCAGAGCTCACTCCCACAATGCTTCTATGTAGAACATTTTCAAATGATTAAGAATTGCATTTACAGAGGTCATTTTTGGCTATTTCAACTTACCTCCAGGAATAGGAAGAGCAACACTAATATTCCCTGCTGAAAAGGACTCATTTCTCCTTTTTTTCTCAGTCGAGGTTCCTTCTTTCTGTCTGGTTTTCTCAGAGGCACTTGGAAGCTGTTAGAAGGAGCGCCATTCCCTCCAGCAGTCCACCTTCAAAAGGTGCAAAAAAAGGAAGAGATGGCTCAAGAACGGGATAGGAAAGAGGTGTGGTGGTGGCAAAAGACCCCAAGTGGTCCGGTGAGCGCGAGAAAGGAGAAGTAAAGATCAAAGAGACAAAGGATCCTCGTTCCTTTGCTTGGCTCACTTTCCAGGAGAGACGAAACGAACCTGGCTAGAGCTCCGGATTTCCACAATCGCTGGAAAACGCCTCTTATTTAGTTACCAATTACGGCATGTCTCCAATAATTGATGCCCCCGGACGTTGATCCTGCTACGGGAGCAATCCCCAGTGACCAGCAAGGGCGGGAGGTCTATTCCAAGCGGACCGCCTAGAAGCAGCACAAAGAGAGGCCGCAACGCAGTTGGCGGAAACGGAATGAATCGCAGGGCAGGGTTTGTAGGATGGAAAATGCCCGCCCCGAGACCGCCTCGCAGACTTCGCTAAGCAGTAGCTGCTTCCCCCTACTTCGGTAGAAAAAGCGGGCGGCAAACAGGGCTCGGGGAGGAGGCGCGCGACCTACCGCCCAGGACGCGGGATTAAAGAGCAGCAAGACGAGACGGCGGACGGGTGGAGAAAGGGACCTTGTGCAGCAGATTAATTCATCCCTACCGTTTCTCCTGCGCGGTTATTTACAAAGTGATGAGGAGCGGGAAAATTTCTAATTACAGAGATGTTAATTCTTAACATATATTACAATAATAAAACAAACTCGGATACTTCTTGCTAGCTAGGTAACGGGGTTGCTCTCTCACTGAAGGAACATGAAGGGACCTTATTGTACTTATGATTTTATTATGCTTATTGTTTTATTATGTTTTAGTTTGACATTAGTAGTATTAGTTTGTAGCCATACAGTAAATTATTCAGGAGATTGCTTACATGAAAAGAGCAAAGTAAGGTTCAGTGGTCCAAGAAATAAGGAGGGCGGAAATGAGTTAAGGATGGAACCTGGATTGATGTATATGAGTCATCATCTTGGAATTTGGTTTTTTTTTTTTTTTTTGGGTGCTTCCTGCTCCTGGTACAGGAGACCTGGATCTCTTTGTTCTGAAAAAGTATAAAAGGTAGAAGAAACCTCTTCTGGGTGTGCCTTCGTCCCTCTAAGCAGCCACGAAGAAGGAGAAGGTTACCCAACTCTATCTTGGCTGTTTTCTTTGCTTGAATCTTGGCTCAGGAGTCTCTTTTGGCTCTTTAAAATTTCTGAGTAGTGCAGAGAAGTTTGTGAGGTTAAGTGGAAAACCTTACAATCATATTCTGAATTTAGAGATCCCCCTGGATTCTGAACTTCTGGTGAAATAAGTAGCAGTCAAGGTAGGAACCTTTGCCCAGCTCAGAATGTTCTGCCAATTGTGGCCCCATCTGGATCATGAAATCTGACTAATATTAACTCCCATTCTCATAACCACACAATAGAATTCCTGTCATATGTTCTATGGAGAGCCACTTTGATGTAGTGGTTAAGGCATCAGGCTAGAAACCAGGAGACTAGTACTTGGGTCACACCGTGGTGTTTGGGCAAACAAACATTCCAAAGTAAAAAACATACATAAACAGCTCAACTTAATACATTCACTGTCATCTCTCTATTTCCCTCAAATAACATAACAGATTTAATATATTCCATTTCTAGCTTAAATTTCTATTAATACTAAACCTGTTTTTATCAATTTACAATTACCATAGTCAAATATTGTTTTACATCAACAGATTATCACTTCAAGTATCTCTTCCAGATATATTCAAGCTCTTAATCTCTCTCATCCCTATTTTTTTCACCAATCTCATTTATTTCTTCTTCCAATAATAACTAACTTAGTTAAAAAAAACAATGTTAAATCTTAGTTCATTTCAATTCATTAGACAAACTTCAAATTCCATCCAATTAATTATCATATCTTATCAAATCATATTATTATACACAAAAATCACCTAATTAATTTAAGCACTTCAAAGTTCCAATCTAAAAACTCAACGTTTTTTCAATTCCAGTACATGATTTCCCTCAAAATCAATCTATTATTCCA